CTGTCCGAGAGGTAGGAGGAGAACCACCGAAGAACGGTGCCTCCCACTCCCACCTCCCGCAACCGTCGCCGAAGGACAGTTTGCCGATTTGGGTAAACCCAAATTGGGTTTGGGTTTGACAAACCAGTAATTGGGTTTGCTGAACCAGTAGTTGGAAGGACTGGCTGACCCTGCCCACCCCACCCCTCCTGGGAGCCTCCACGTGGCCTGTTCATCATGCCAGGTAAGTGCAGGGCCCATGTGGAGGCTCTGGGAGGGCGAAAAATGGGCCTACCGGAAGTCAAGAAACGCACTTGTTTCTCACCTCTGGAGCCCGGGGGAGGCCGTTTTCACCCTCCTGGGGGCTCAAGGAAAGCCTATGGAACCTGGGGAGGGCAAAAATGCATACATACACACACACACACTGCTGTGGTGCAGAAAGCCAACTAGGCCACACCCCCATGGTCACACCCACCCAGCAACCTGACAGAGTTTGGAAACTGTTTGACTAGTTGCCAAAGGCATTGTGTAACACATGTTGTATAATATGAACTTGTGTAACATGGGCATGTAAGGAAGTGGACTGTCACCCCAAAATCGTATTTAAACCCTGTATCCAAAGTTGTCAGACATTCTCTTTCTATCTTTCATGATTGAGAATCCTTTTGCAAAAGCTTATAAAATTGTATTTTAAATAAATATGCTTTTTATTGTTTATGGTCTCCTTGTTCTTCTATGAGATAGAGATTTCTTTTCTCACACTTCCCATGGATGTTTCTTGAGTGGCTTAATAAATATTTCCACATACCATCTAAATATGTCTCAAAAGAGTTTTTAAACAGCAATTATTAAAATACAGTGAAATGAACTAATTGATGAAAAAGGGATTGGAGTAAACCAAACCCATTGTCCATGAGATCCATAGATGAAAGAACTCCTTATTTCTAAGTTGTCTCTCTCCTTGATCAGTTTCCATCCATTGTTCCTTGTCTAGCCTTCAGGTCTTTGGAGAATAGGTTGACCCCCTCTTCTCTGTGGCAGCCCCTCAAATATTGGAAGACTGCTATCATGTCTCCCCTTTTCAGTAGACTAGCCATGCCCAGTTCCTGCAACTGTTCATTGTATGTTTTAGCCTCCAGTCCCCTAATCATCTTTGTTCCTCTTCTCTGCACTCTTTCTAGAGTGTCAACATCTTTTTATAGAACTGGATGCAGTTTTCTAGGTGTGGTCTTACTAAGGCTTTATAGAGTGGTATTAGTACCTCACATGCTCTTAATTGAATCCCTCTGTTAATGCAACCTATGAGGTCCTGAAAATTCTTCAACAGTTGTCTGAGTTTCAGGGGAAGAAATGCCATTTCAGGGAAGATGTGTCAGCCCACAGCAAGATGACAATCTAGGTGTTTATGCAAGATGCTGCAACAGGTCAGAGGTCCTACTGGCCTGGTTTCAGATTTTCTTTTTTTTTTTGCAATTTTTTTTTATTTTTAAACATAAGAAACAACATAAAAAAAATTCTCATCCATACATACTGTAGAAAGTGTATCAATTGGTTACAAAAGGTTTTTGTCACAGCTCCTTCACTTAATAACCAAGAAAGAAACCACTCAACTCCATGTTTCAGAATTAAGTGCACTTTTACTGATTATAAACGATGAGAAGCGAAGCAAAGCTGGATCTGAGTAAAAGAGCGCGAAAGCAATAGATATCAATACATGATCCATTCCCCTCCCCTTGGTACCCCAGTCCACAGTCCAATCATATATCACCACAACTGTCAGGTGGGAAACATCTTCAAACATCATCATCAGGTTGGAATGCTGGACAGTTGGCCTTGGCGGGAAACTCCCCTCCTTCCACATGTGCAAACGAATGGTGAGAACAAGCTGCAATTAACAGTCCTCCTGTACAGATTA